TAGAGCATTCGGGCGCATTCTTCTGCTGGCCGGCAGCTTGCTTGCAATTCGTCGATTTCAAAAAGAATTCCCGCTCACTGGGATGTGCAGCTGGCCCTTTCAAGTCAAGGAGTTGATCCCGTGTACGGCAGAATCATTAACAACTCTTCAGCTGGATCACATGCAAAAATCGCTTTTTCTACAAGCTCTTGAAAATAAGGATAAGCGGAGGCACGAAGCAAAGCTCCGAAATCTTTATCAGCGTACCTGAAAAGTTCTTACACAAAATTGAAAGGACAGAGGAGTTTTTATCGACGCTTAAATACTCTCCGGTTGTCTGTTTTCGAAGACAACATTTGTGTTCATCGCTGAAAACACTGTAGAACCCTATAAGATGATACTGCGTCCAGTGTGAAGAAAATTGAAATTCAAATCCAATGAGGAAAAAAAAAACCAAGCGGATATGGATGAATGATTCGTATTGCTCTGAGTTTGATGTGAGACTCAAGATTCAGCTTTATGGTCAGACTATGCTCAAGACAGGCAACACAGATATAATGGATTGGGTTTGGAGCTGAACAAGGAGAGCAGTTTCTGAATTGCTTTCATCGAGTTACTGGACGTCTTCTTACCTTGAGTTGGTACTAGCTGCCTGTTCGATGCATGCTTGACACCTTTTTGGCAGTCACGCAAGTTGATATTTATTCATCGTGAATAACACTGAAATGATCTTCATTTGGAAGCGTGTGCGACTGCAAAAGAAACGCCAACACTAAATGTGGCAGCGGCACTTTTTGCGCTGATTGTAGTAACCGAGCTGACTCTGGAAGCCTAGATGGCGGAGGCGCTGTAGATTATAGAATGAAAGAGCAGTATGATACAAGATAAAAGTGAGATAAGACGTTTTGGTCCATTTAGTCGTACACGTTTTAACACCGCGGCAGGACCTCGTCAGTATAATGGAAAAGAAAAAGGTCGCAGTGCTTAATGGAAAAGAAAAAGCAGAGAGAAGTGCGACAGGAGAAAACAAAAGGGGAAACAATATGATTGTGGGGTTAGAAGAAGTAAGAGTGCGATGAAGAGGGAAGGGGAAAGAAAGGAGAAAGAAAAGGATTTTAAGAGAGAAAAGTTTTTAAAAAAAATTATTTTTTAAAAAACGTTTTCTTTTGAAATCCTTTGAATTCTACTGTCATCAGGTCTGCTGTGTGAATATAATTTGAGAAAAAGTATTGGCGATAATTCAAAGAGCTGTGGAACGACAGGAATCAGTAGACTGCAGTGCATCTATAAAAAGTACTGCAGTTCAGGTCTGATGTGATTAGTGTTATCAAAGCAATGTATTCTCGGAAGAGTTGAACTGGGCATTTAACAAGAATGAGAGGCGACAAAATGGGCAGTACAGAGCACTGAATAACAGCCGCGCAGTATTGGAAAAACTCGGGTAAGATCCCCGTGAAAGCCTATAAGGAATTTCGCGGGTGCAAAGGATCCAGAGAAGAGTGAAGAAATTACCAGCTGCATCAGTGGCGAGAAGAAATAAGACGGTAAAAAAAACAGTTGGTCGAAGTATCTATGAATGTGTGTATCCAGAGAACAGCGTTTGTATGCACTGCTTTATATCTATGATTGGAGCCGTTTACAGCTGTGTTTATATTAAAAAAAAATTTAGCGACAAATATTTAAAGTGGATCCAATGAAACTCGGCTGGGGGCAGTGTAGCTTTGTGGAAGTGAATTTTATCATATCGCCGGTGATGGACGAGTTTCAATTTACTCTCAACGATTTATCGCACGCCGCAAGTCAGAATGGTAAAATGGATCGAACCGTGCTACAATTCATCGACATTGCCACATCGCAGAATGTGCTCATGAATCTGTAGGCAACTTCTTTTTTTAAAAATACAACAAATTTTCCTATTTGTCAGTGGAAGCGCGTATGCGTCCAATCGCAACGCACATCTCTTATCGATACTGCACGGGGGCGTGTTGCCTTGGTTGAACGAGCCGGTTACTTTAAGATAGTTTTAGCGATGGCTGAAAATTCACTATCAGCCTATGCAACTTCGGAAAGATATTTGTTGCGCCATGACTCCTGTGACGCCCCGGTGCCACTGCTACCTATAAAGAACCCAGGTTGGAAATTATCAGT